CTTCCCGACCAGAAATTTCTAGACATGCAAAAAATGTTTTTATAAAATAAAAAATTGTCGTGGTGTCTTAAAATTCTTTTTTATTTACTAATTCCAATAAAACATTAGTATTATAAATTAATAAAATCAAAAAATATTTTTTTTTAGATCTACCACCAAGGAAAAAAAATGTATTTGCAATTTCAAATAATTCTGTGTATTGTAAGTAAAAAAAAAACAATACAGTAAGGCAGTGGCAAAGTTTGGTAATTGTTGGAACTAGTTGAGATAGATTTTATCTAATCATTAGTAATATCACTACCATAAAAAACATATCGCTACAAATTTGATAAATTCACAAAAATTTGACTATATATAAATTCTAAGTATTTTGAAATCTAACTTATTTAAAATATTTCCTTAATTGAAGAGAAACTATTTTTTTTTTAATGCGATTTTTTTACTTTAACAACCATTGACTTAAACAAATTTCATAGAAATACAATAGTCGGGAAACGTTTTTTTTCAAATATTGTTGTAGATTTCAAAAGCTTTAATTTGAAATAGATTTCAAAGACGCAGTCATTCAGAAAAATTTTTTTCAAAATAATTTTTTTCATATTTGTAGATGGCCTTTTTCAAACAATTCTATACATAGATTTTTCTTTGGTTTTTCATAAAAAGCATTCTAAAAGAAATCTTATTGATCCTAATTAACTTTTAAATATGATTGCATTTTAATTATGATCAATGTTAAAAAAAGCTATAGCGTTTTTGAAATGCAGAAAAAATTTGTATTGAAATACTAATTTATTAATCATTTTAATCAGTCCAGTTAGAGCTCAGAAATTCTTTGGACAGATATAGAAAAAAACACACATTATTTTTAAACTAAAATAATTAATCAAATTCGTATCATTAAACTCTATCCTTAACAATATTTAAATACAATATATTATATGTATACAAATAAGTATCAATGAATACAATAGTTCATTATAACAATTTTGAATTTTTTTGCAATCTAAAATAATTTTAAATATTTAAAGATATCATTAATGAATTTAAAATTATAATTGATAATACTATTGATAATTTGTCTTTTTATCAACAAATTGTTTTTTGGATTCCAATGAATAACTGAGTTTAATTTCTTTTTAAGATTTACCAGAAATCATGACAACTTCTATTATACATAAAATAAATGTTTATTATTTGTACGTTAAGTTCAAAAAAATTGTCTTCTTGTCATTTTTCAAGAATATCTACCGCTAAAGATATAAACATTTTATGCCTTTTACAACATTTTTCATAAAATAATATTGTTTAAATTTTTGATAATGTTCTGAAATAACTGTGTACTTAATATGTGTATTGATTAATTATTTTAAAAAAACTTAATGATTTTAAAAAATAGTTAAATTTAAATTTACTTNCGTGTGAAAATTCTCGATTTTATTATTTATATAATATTTAATTTTATAATGCTATAACTTATTGAAAAGTTTATGGATCCACACAATTTTTTTATGAGAAATAATATTTTTTAATAAACCCTTTTTCATTTGACATACTTTATCTTTATCGAGATATTAATAAGGAACCAGCAGATCAAGTAGCTTTTGGAATAAAACACCAATATTTTTTAAATTAAGCACTATCTAAAGATTTGCATCGAAGCGTTTATTTTTGATAGTGATTTTAATCACTGTCAGATATCATTATATTTGATCCAACTATACCACGTCACAACTGTGCCGCGATCCCCCTGTGCTGGGTTTTTTGTTATTTGTCCCTAAAACAAAAACAAAATTTTAATTAAATTTTTAGTTTATCATTATCATTTAGAAATAATTCAACAGATTATATATGTAGCTGAGGTGGAGTAACAGTACTACGCATCCACCTATGTATTATAATGATTATAATTCAATTAGAATTTAATGGCGTTATCAACCCACAAAATTTTTTTTTTTTTTTTGAAGTTTAAAATTGGCTATTTTGAAATTAAAAAAAAATCAGTGCGTGTTATGAGTACACGCGGATGAAGTGAAACTTCTTTCGTATGAAGATATTGCGTGAAAATTGTATCTATTGTGATTTTACAAAAATTTTTTATACACAATCAAATTTATTTAAGTTATATTATTTAATGCATTTTAATAATATTACTTTGATTTTTTGATAATACAGTGCAAATTATAATATAAAATATACTTTAAAGACGATCATGTTGATTGATAATCGTTATTTTTTTCGGACACTCGTTTTTGAAGTTTCACTTAAAAAAATAAAATAAAGTATTATTATGTTATTAGAGACAATAAGTATTGTGTTTCTATTGAAGTTAAATTTCCTAAATATAATTTAAAAAAAAAAATGATACAAAATATTTAAGGATCAGAAGTTATTAAAGATGTCAAAACCTTATACGATACTATTTATATTTAAAGTGATTTGAGACTTTGATTACTAAATTTGTAAAGCAAGCTAAATTTTTTTTGTTCATAATAATATCATTAGTTAACATATTTTTATAAAAAAAAATTATTACAAATAATCTTTAAATTAATTTCAATTTTGTTTCGTAAAAGTACTAAAAATCTTAGCAAAATATATTCATATACTTCGTTATGAAAGTGTGGACTGATTTAACGTACTGAGTGCCTCTGTGACAAGCTGACCGCATCTGAGCCAGGGAGAGCATTTTGACCACCATCAGAGTGACATCTGNCGCATCTGAGCCAGGGAGAGCATTTTGACCACCAACAGAGTGACATCTGAATCAGAATGCTCATTATTTTTGGCTTTTTATATTAAATTTGATAATTAGTTCAAAGGCAAGAAGTGATCACCGACGCTACCATTATTTCTTTATTAATTATAATTTATTACATTTTCGTCAATAATGATCTACATTTTATAATGTTCTACCGTTTTTTCTATAAAATCACATTATTTATTACCTTATATAACACATTACTATTACATATTGTTTATTATTTCCTGTTTCTTTTATATAATTAATTTCTGTTTTTTCTACGAAATTTCATTAATATATTTAAACATTTAAAAGGTATATGTATTTTATTTTTACATTGGTATTAGTGATGGGAAATATCGAATAGTAACTATTGAACTATTCGATAGTCATTCAAAAACTATTCGAATAGTAAAACTATTCGATAGTTACACATATATTCGAATAGTTTTTAAAATATTTGATAGTTTATGATAAAAATAAAATATTCGATGGCATAAACATAATTTACAAACGTAAAAATTTAAAACGCGCTTTCCTCTTTATCGTTGTTATGCCTTTACAAGACAAAAGAGCAGGTAATGCTAGACCTAGAACAGTATACAAGGTATTAAGTGTAAAATAAAACTTTGGTATTTACGAATACTTCTGTTGCGCATAGAACAAACCTTTTCGATAAAACTGAAAATATATCATTAGTCATCGAAAAAAAAGAACTGCTTTTTAATTTTTGACCCATATTTATCAGTTTTTACCAACGACTCACAAACTAAAAATAAATAAAATGGTACTTATTACTATTATTGATTGTATAATATTTAATTTTAAGTATTCGTTTATTATCTTCTTATTATTATTAAGTGTACTTAATAAAAATTTTAGATAGAACTAATCGAATATTTTTAAAAACTATTCAATAGTTTATGCTAAAAACACACTATTCGATTGTATAAAAACAATTCGAATAGATATTCGATAGCTTTTTAAAACTATGGAATACTATTCGATAGTTAAAAATATTCGAAAATGCCCATCACTAAATGGTTTACATATCATTTTGTGTGATTTATTAATTGAAGCCTTAAATAGTACATTATGACATTAATAGTATACTATTAATGTATATCATAAGCGTATAGTGGCCTAGTGATAAGATTTGACTCTACGATGCCTTTGATCGCGAGTACTAATCCCATACCGTGCCTCTTTTTCACACAATTTTCCGGTACATTTTCTATGACCAGCCGTGTTGTTGTTATAATCACGACTAAAAAATGAATTCTTATATTATTATTATTAAATTTTAAAGTATTATTTTTGAAAATTAACATAGTTTTATTATAGATTTAAATGTTCAATTTTTCTTTGGAGTTATGTGTTTAAAAACATTTATAAAATTTAATATAAGTGAATTTATTTAACATTTCATTAAATGTAGATATTACAAATACATTCTTAGGTAATATCTACATATATTACTTTTAAATAAATCTTAAAAAATTGAATAAGAAATAACTCGACTGCTTACGCTTCGTAAAATTTACTAGTCTTATTTTTGTAAACGTTTTTTATTATTATAATGCGTTGACGTTAATCGCACCTTTCGATATACAAACTAACATCGAAAATTAAAATCCAGAATCATAAAATTATTTAAATGAAAAATCATAAGTAATAACACTTTGCTGCATTGGACCCTCGAACCTAACTCCTTGTTAGGGACAAACAACATTCTATTCCCTAAGTTGACAATCCATATCTATGATTTTTAGTAGTTCATCAAGTCCACAACATCTATGAAAATAATCATCCACACCTTAATTTGGATACTTGATTTATCATTTTTTATTATATATTCTCATATAATAATTATATGAGAATATATAATATTATATATCCAAATTATTTGGATTATTACATTATTTTATGCAACTATTTGTGTTTTAAAGTTGCAACTAGTATATTTTTAATAGTATTAATTTTTTAACGAATTAATCAGACTTATATTAAATTTAAGAATACTAAAATTGTATCATAAATAACTTGTGAGCGATTTACTTAAGACTATTAATAATAATTAATAATAATATAATTGTATTATGATTTATAAATAATTCTAAATTTTAACATTAAAACATATTAGTATATTTCCGTCCAAATGTTAAGTGTACATTAATTTCACATTCCACTCCAACACGTTACCGTATCTCATCCTAGGTGAGACACAACACTAATATACTTTAAATAGTATTAATAATTTATGTATACTAAATTATAATTATTTTACAGATAATATCAACAGACAATTAACTACGCTGAAGAACAAAATCGTTTCCAGTGAAATAAAACTAAATCAAACGAGTACCACAATATTAGAACTCTTAGAATTAGATTCCTCATATAATTCAAAAAACCTTAAAAGTTGTTGTGCTATTTTTCACAAGAATTTGTTTGCAGTAGAAAATCCCAAAGTATATAATTACAAAATCAAATCAAATTAAAATCTCTCTGTTTTTAACACGCTTATATTAGTTTCACATGTATGTTGTTTGTTGTTTGTAACTCTCTAGTCCAGTCATTTAAGCTCTAAAATAGGTGTAAAGTGGAATTAAATCGGAAAGTTTTGAAACTTTGCAAAAAGTTAGGTTATAGGCTCCTGATTCACCTAAAAAAATTCGCCATCCCTCATAGGTCCGGAAGTTTCCGCCATCTTGGATTTTAAGTGCGATTTTTCACGTTTATTAAATTATCTTTGAAAATACTAAATTTATCTCAAAAGTACTTCTATACAAAAATGTAGCTAATAAAATTTCAAATCGATATGGTTCTATACAATTTTTTCGTAGATTGAATGGATTAAGAGCAAAACTTAACCATATGTAATAAGATCATACGCGCCTCACTATAATACTATATTTATGATGTACGTAGACAGCGCGCCGCGCCCGCGTCCATTAGAAAAGACAATATTTACCTCTTACATACATATATAATTGTATTAAAACATTACATTAAAATATTTACATCCATAATATCAATATACAGGGTGATTTTTTTATCATAACCCACTCAATTACTTGCAGAATAATAATAATTTAAACATTTTTTTTTTTTATTATCTTTAGTTACACATTATTCTTGAATTTTTAACTATGTAATACTTTTTAAGTTCATCCCTTATGCCTTGGAGGGGGGTCAACTTTGTTTTTTTAAATGGTAACACATATTTTTAATTTAATAAAATGTTTGAGTTTTTAATTTAATAGTAAATGGCATTTGAATTTTTAATATAACTT